CAAACTGAGCCAATGTGACTATGTATAAAATATCCATACCTGGAATTCATCTGCTGCACTGACGTTCTAAAATTACCACTTTTTTTTCCTGATTTGTTAAATGTTTTTGTTTTTATTAACCGCATTCCCACCGCCCTATAGCAGACATACTGCTACAGGGGTGCGCAAAATCACGTATATTATTATTATACAGTATATAGTGCTAAAAGGTTTGCTCAGCGCTGTACATTATAGTGGGGGACAGTACATGAGACAATACAGTAACAATACAATACACGAGGGGGTCAAGGGCCCTGCTCTTTCGAGCGTACAATCTAGGAGATATATACGTGATTTTGCATTTCCAGGTAGGCGATGCGCGCAAGCCCTACCTGCGCCACCATTTGCGGCCACGCCTGTCAACGACCAGGTCCCGGCCGGTGATTACCTGTTGGCGCGCGGTGATTAAGGACGATCTCCGACAGGGAGGAGGGCTGCTTTACTAACAGTCCTTCTCCCAGTCAGCTCAGGCATACTGCTCTGGATGGCTGTGCACAGCACAGCGATCCAGAGCAGGGTGCTTACAGTGAAGCACCAACACACCCCCCCTCCAGTAAAACACCCCAAGCACATAGTTAACCCTTTGATTGCCCCTCATGGTAACCTTTTCCTGCTCAGTGCCATTACTACATCAACTGTGGGTATAGGATTATAACTTTTTTTTTTTCTTCTGTGGTCGAACTGGATGGACTTTTGTCTTTTTTCAGCCAGACTAACTATGTAACTATGTGCTACAGTGTCTGTGCTTTTTTTTTTTTTTTTTTTTTTAGCGCTGAGTACTGTATTGGTTTCACTGGGGATGTCAGTGACACCAAGTCAGTTCCCTCCAGTGTCAGAATGCCCGCCGCAGTCTCGCAGTCCCGCTATAAGTTGCTGATCGCCGCCATTATTAGTAAAAAAAGAAAGAAAATTCCAGTATCTATACCACCATTTGTAAATGCTATAACTCAAACTCATAAATCAATTAATTTACACATATTGGGATTTTTTTCTTAGCAAAGAAATGTAGCAGAATACATTTTGGCCTAAATTTATGATGACATTTGATTTTTTTAAACAATTTTACTGGACATGTTTAACCACCTCCCGCCCGCCATATAGTCCAATGACGGGTGCAAGGTGGTTCTCTTATTCTGGGAGGACGTCATATGACGTCCTCCCATTCTCACCGCGCATGCGCGGCTCAGGGAGTGTGCAGCGAGCAGCGGTGCGCTGTGTCCCTCGGACACAGCGGATCACCGATCACGGAAAGAGCCGAAGATGTTGGCTCGGTCATGTGATCAGCTGTGTCCAATCACAGCTGATCGCATGTAAACAGGGAAATGACGGTTATCGGCATTTCTCTCCTCTCGAGCTGTCACGCTGACAGCTCGAGAGGAGAGCAAGTAATCGGCTTTACGCGGAGGGGACATGTACACTGATCATCAGGGCACTGATGATCAGTGTAGCCACAGAAGTGCCACCTGTCAGTGCTCATCAGTGCCTCGTGCCGCTCAGTGCTCATCAGTGCCTCGTGCCAGTGCTCATCAGTGCCACATCAATGCCACATATCAGTGCCTACCAGTGCACATCAATGCCACATATCAGTGCCCATCTGAGCTGCCTTTCAGTGTCAACCATCAGTGCCACCTATCAGTGCTGCCAATCAGTGCCACCTATCAGTTCCACTCAGTGCTGCCTATCAGTGCCTCCTATCAGTGCCAGTCAGTGCCGCCTATCAGTGCCATGTATCAGCTGCCTTTCAGTGCCCATCAGTGATGCCTGTCAATGCCCATCAGTGCCACCTACCAGTGCCTCCTCATCAGTGCAGCCTATCAGTGCCCATCACTGCAGCCTCATTAGCGTATATCAGTGAAGGAGAAAAATCACTTATTTACAAAATTTTATAACAAAAACTAAGAAAAAAACTTTTTTTTTTTCCAAAATTTTCAGTGGTTTTTGGTTTGTTTAAGAAAAAATAAAAAACCCCCGAGGTGATTAAATACCACCAAAAGAAAGCTCTATCTGTCACAAAAAAATGATAAAAAATTTCATATGGGTACAGTGTTGTATGACCGCGCAATTGTCATTCAAAGTGTGACAGTGCTGAAAGCTGGAAATTGGCCTGGGCAGGAAGGGGATATAAGTGCCCTGTAGGCAAGGGGTTAATAGCAAAAAGTCAAAAATAGTTTGTTTTTTTTCTCAAAATTGTCGGTCTTTTTTTTTTATAGCACATAAAATAAAAAACGCACAGGCGATCAAAATACCACCGAAAGAAAGCTTAATTCGTGGGAAAACTGCTGAAAAACTCATGGACAATGCAATGGGAACTTACACTATATAGCCAAAAGTATTGGAATACCCCTCAAATCATTGGATTCAGGTGTTCCAATCGTCTTCATGGTCACAGGGGTATAAAATCAAGCACCTAGGCATGCAGACTACTTCTACAAACATTTGTGAAAGAATGGGTCGCTCTCAGGAGCTCAGTGAATTCAAGCTTGGTACCGTGATAGGTTGCCACCTGTGCAATATGTTCATCCGTGAAATTTCCTTGCTACTAAATATTTCATGGTCAACTGGGATATTATAACAAAGTGGAAGCAACTGGGAAGAACAGCAACATAAAGTGGTAGGCCACGTAAAATGACAGAGCGGGATCAGCGCATGCTGAAGCGCACAGTGCGCAGATGTTGCCAACTGTCTGCAGAGTCAATAGCTAAAGACCTCCAAACTTTGTGTGACCTTCAGATTAGCACAACAACAGTGTGTAGAGAGCTCCATGGAATGGGTTTCCATGGCCGAGCAGAGCTGTATCCAAGCCTTACATCACCAAGTGCAATGCAAAGTGTGCAGTGGTGTAAAGCATGCCGCCACTGGACTCTAGAGCAGTGGAGACGTGTTCTCTGGAGTGATGAATCAAACTTCTCTGGCAATCCGATGGACATGTCTGGGTTTGGTGGTTGCCAGGAGAACGGTACTTGCTTGACTGCATTGTGCCAAGTGTAAGGTTTGGTGGAGGGGGATTATGGTGTGGGGTTGTTTTTCAAGGGTTGGGCTTGGCCCCTTAGTTCCAGTGAAGGGAACTCGTAAGGTGTCAGCATACTAATGCAGGCCATAGATGGGTCGTTTATCGGGCGAATTTTCGTCCGAACAAAAAATCGGCCGATATTCACACTGTTAGTGGGGCCAGCCCATCAGCCATTTTTCACAGATCTCCTAATTTATTTTTATCAGACATGCTGGAAAACAGCTATTTTTCGTGGACATTGGTGGCAGCATCGGCAACCGGGCCGACCGACCGATTTTTCATTTATCGGCCAAAAATTCATTTATCAGCCCGTCTATGGCCTGCCTAAGACATTTTGGACAATTTCATGCTCCCAACTTTGTGGGAACAGTTTGGGGATGGCCCTTTTCTGTTCCAACATGACTGCCCACCAGTGGACAAAGCAAGGTCCATAAAGAGATGGATGAGCGAGTTTGTGGTGGAGGAACTTGACTGGCCTGCACAGAGTCCTGACCTCAACCCGATAGAACACCTTTGGGATGAATTACAGCGGAGACTGCAAGCCAGTCCTTCTCATCCGACATCAGTGCCTGACCTCACAAATGTGCTTCTGGCAGAATTATTATTATACAGTATTTACAAAGCGTCAGTTCGCTCAGCACTGTACATTACAATGGGAGACAATACATGAGACAGTACAATGACAATACAGTGTGATATACGAGGGGTTCGAGGGCCCTGCTCCTTGGAGCTTACAATCTAGGAATGGTCAAACATTCCCATAGACACACTCCTAAACCTTGTGGAAAGCCTTCCCAGAAGAGTTGAAGCTGTTATAGCTGCAAAGGGTGGACCAACTCAATATTGAACCCTACGGACTAAGACTGGAATGTCATTAATGTTCATGTGCGTGTAAAGGCAGGCGTCCCAATACTTTTGGCAATAGAGTGTATATTTAGCAATGTTTCCACCTTAGGTTTACACAACTTTTACCCAAGACTTGCACCTAAGATTCTATTAGAAAATGAGAGAATCTTGGCTAAAAGTTATGTGGAACCCGGGGTGAAAACATTGATAAGTAGACCTTATAGAAGAGTTTGTAGCAGAGCAAGCATCAGGTCTTAGGCCGAGTTACCAAAATTCTCTCATCACTAGGATATAGTTATTGGGTTTCCTAGTATGTATAAATTTACATGTATGGAAATTAGATAGAAAGCCAGTGTACAAGGACTGATGTTAATGAATAAACACTTGTTGATTGTACAGTGAAGTTCAGTAAACAGAGGAGAACAATATTTTATAAACAGAAGACCTTGTTTTCCAGGCTATGTATTGTCTTCTTTTGTCAAGCAAGAAATGTATTTGTGCTGTTAAAACATTGTTCATAGTAAGAATCTGAAACAATCAAGTGATTAGCTAAGACAGTTGTGTATGTGTGTGGCTTTTTTTTTTTCTTTCCGTTGTACCTTGTGAACCTTCTATACCAGGACTATCTCAATCCCGGGTCCCAAGTATTTAAAGTAAATAAGAAATAATTAGCTTGTCTGATTTTCATACCGTTGTTAGTAAAACCACATCACCTCCGAGCCCTAAAAAGCGCCTGCTGGCAGTTATAACTAAGGGACTGGATCTAGAATTCTACATTAATTTACCACCCTTGGTACTAATGAAGGGGTACTCTACTCCAACACAGCTCTGGTTTCTGGGGAATACACCTTTAGTACCACCTACTGGTAGACTCTGGTATCTGCAAATTTTTATGTCAAAGATAATGACAGTATATGGATACATTATACAAAAGTAAAACTGTAAAACCAACTGTGATCAATACTAAAAAAAAACATTACCATCACAGTTAGTGTTCATTTAACTGGATAAATTACAGTAAACATCTGCTTTAAAAGTGGGACTGTTTTAAGTCTTTTCATACCTGTAAAACTTTATATCGTAAGCAGGGGCAGACTGACAACTCATGGAGCCCCCGGGCAATAGGGGATCATGGGGCCCCTGTGTCCTGGCCCAAACTCAAAAAAAAGCCTATGAAAAAGGTACCAGGGGCATCTCATGGGGCCCCCTACTGACCCCGTGCCCGAGTTTCTAAATGGTCAGTCCGCCGCCCTGATCGTAAGCTCTCACAAGCAGGGTCCTCCTAACCCTCTTGTTTGTAACTGTGCTACTTCCCTTTATTTTGTAAAGTTCATTGTTGGCACATTATAAATCCTGTATAATAATTAAACGAACAGCAGGTTTTAAAAGCAAGCACCTATAGTTGTCTTTTATGAAGATATCAAGAACGGTGGAGAAGGTCAAGTTCCAGCCCTAACCTCCTGTACCTGGTCAGTGAGACTGCCTATCAATCTGGCCAATGGCAAAGTGCAGAAGGCCTGTTGCACAGCTCAGCATCCTCCATTGAAGTCAAGACTTGCACTAAGTTCCACAAATTTTCATAGTTCCTGGGGCCCTCCATCAACTATGCATAGGGTAGTGTAAGCACTTGTAGGGACATGCTTTTAAAGCCAGCTAAAAAAAAAAATCATTATAACTGGCATGACAAGTTTACATTTTTTATATCTGGTGGAGATGTCAAATACAGTGCATAAATGCATTTTCCAAAAGAAACAGGACAAGGGTATTGTTGCCCTGAGCCTACTGTACACTAAGCCTTAGGGACTCAATTTACTGTGCAATAGATGGATCTGGGGAGAAAATTATAATGAATACCAAGTATTTTGCATATAACAGGGCTCAAAAATATCAGTTTCGAGTAGGGGGAGCCAATAGATTCCACCACTGGTTCTCAAGGGAGAGCTGGGAATGTTTGGCTTTGGGAGAGAGGGATACAGCCAAGTGGCCTTTTCATGGAAGGAACAGATTCCTTTGTGCCATATAAAGTGTACCTTTTCATATCCTTCATCATCAGCTTCCTTTGCAGCTCTTGGCATTCAATCTTGGCATCTGATCTTAGAGCCACAAAGGAAGTTGATGCTGGAAGAGTTCCCTCTGCCAGACGGTGTGATCACATGTCTGAACAGGGCCAGATAGCTATATAACACCCACCATGTGGCACTTACTGCACACCCCACTCTGATGTCTGAATAATTAAGTATCTCTACTGAGTACCATTATCCCAGCATACTGTATCCTATCAGTACTGGTCCAAGGAGCAAATGCCCCCCAGCCCAGTCCTCTTCCCACTGGTCACATAGGTAAGTTAGGATACAGCATAAATATAATCATTTTTAGTACTGAGTGAACTTAGCCTTTAATTCCAATTGGAATGCACCCATAATAAAACTGGCAGGCTAAAAGAACTAGATGGTTTTCTCAGATGGTTTTCTCACTTCCCATAAAAAATCTGTATTTCTGTCTATGAATGAACATCCAAGTTAATGATGACAGTCAAGTACTCGTACTGCTTTTTCCCTTCTGTACAAATGTACTTGGATTCCAGTCACTCTCCCAGAGACAATAATCTATTTAAGAACAATCACTTATCATATGCCGCATATTGTTTGGTCCATAATGCCGGAAGATACACCATCTGCTGACTGATCAACAATATTCAAATCAGAATTGTAACAGCAGAGGCCTGTGAATTAGGTTCCTAAAAAACCCCATTAACATGCAGCTTAGTAGACCCATATTTTTCGACATTGCTCATGTGCCAGACACTACATTGGACACATATGTTTGGTTGCCGATTACCTTCATATTCAACTGTTATGATACAGAATGTACACCATTGTGTTTGTACATTTAATTTACTCATCACTAATGAAGATCGAAAAAGGTGTTGGAGAACCGTCTTGCATTCAGAATTGAAAAAGATTGTTAACCAGGAAAAGCTTGACACTTTTCTTAAACCATGTGACCCAACATTATCCATGGGCAAGTAGGGATCACCCCTTATATCAGAAGACCCCTCTATAGTCCACCATGGGCAACACCTTTATATCTTTGTATGCCTACAATTGATCTTGCCTTAGTTAAAGCTCATACAGACTTGATACATTGTTCAGTTATATATAGAACAGCAGGAGGAAGTATAATCAGTCTGTGTCGGACTTCCCAGAGGTCATAGGTGCTTCTGGAGCCTCAGTGCCAGTTTGAACCTTCCCTCTGTAAAGCAATGTATTAATGCCAACTCATGTTTTTATGTCATGTGAATAGACTTCAGATTTAAGAAATGACTTTTTTTATTTAATGCATACACATGAATATGGCTCAGAGTTAAGCTGACCAACATTTTCAAAACGAGTGTCAGCTCACTGTCTAACACAATAGATAAAGCCCAGCATGCTGAACAATTTATGTTTTTTTTTTCTATACATATTTTGCTTTCGAAATGCTTGCAAAGTCTGTGAAAAGAGATGTCTGGAATGTCGAAGTGTCAAAGCTTCAACCATAAACTTGTCTTGATGCATCAAGAATTGCCCAGTAAGATCGCCTCCCTCATGCCCCCTGCTGATAACACTGAATATTGCAGGTTAGTAGAAACACAGTTTTTTAGGCATGAAAACAGGAATAACATTTGTTTTCTGCAGAAAGTCCACACTGTGCATCATCTGTGGAGCCTATAACAAATGGGTTACTACCTGGCTGCCTAACATTTTTTTCATGGGCATTTGACTAATAATTCTGCATAACATGACTACCTATACTGTATAATGCTGTCTACTATCAGACCAAAATAAAGCTTTTAGTGCGCTTCAGATATTGTTTTACAGTTTCACAGGTCACAGTAATCTACTGATTTGAAAGATTATCTCCTGACAATAGTGTATTTAATAAAAGATATGTTTAAGTGGAACTATTGCCTATTCTGCCCACTTTTAGGCGATCTCTGAAAACCTATCTCTTCAGGGAGGCCTATCCTGCCTTCAGCTAACAATGGAATCTTCTATTTCTCCTATCAGTTCATCCCCCCATAGTTATTACCTTTTGTACCAACAGCCCCTCCCTCTTAGATTGCAAGCTCCAAGGAGCTAGTATATGTACCTGAATCTGTTTTGATATTAGTCCTCTGGAATCTTCTACACAACAGCATTCAGACTAAGGAATGAATGGGCAGCAGTGTGAGCTAGTCAGGCTCTACTGTTTTTTTTATGGAGGGGGAGAACATAGGGATGAATTGATCAGTTTCAGTGATGCCCCTATATTGTCCAATTAAGGGTGACCATGTTGAATTCAGAGGAAAAAAATATTTTTGCACATTTTCTACATACCATTAATTTAGGTATGTTTATCCCACGTGACAGCTGCATTAAACTAGAACTGTTTATTTCTTTATTCCCCATCAGTATAGTAAGCACCAAACTTCCAGCGTTGACACTCCAAAATGGACTCCCATACAGAACACAGTGATGATAGTGGGTCATTCCTACTCCTCCTCCATTCATAAAACAGCTGGTATTTTTTTCAGAGGTACAAGGCATTCTTTAAATGGATAAGGGAAGGGGAATGGTGAGTGCAGATTACAATCTCCCTGCATCCAATCACAAAATGCCCTGTATTCAGTGAAAGGTCCAGAGGAGGTGGTATATGAGCAGCTCACTGTTGTCACTGTATGAGAGCAAGAATCGTAAAGTGACAGCAGTGGAAATTCAGTGTTTGATGTACTGTCAGGAATGAATGAAACGAAGAGTACTAATGCAGCAGCCATCCCCACATGGGAAACACATAAATAGACGTAATTTATTGGTGCAGATCAAATGTGCAAAAATAATCTTTTTCCTGAAGTTCAACTTTAACCACAGTAAGGCCTCATGCATGTATGAATTTACGCTCAAAATATGCTGGATTTGTTTTCTCCCAGAACGTGGCAAAAAATATTGTGTGTGTAAGCCCATTTATGTACGTATGGCGTTGAGCAAAAATTAATTCTACTGGCCAGAGTATCAATTATGCACTAACATGTATATTTATGCACGTTTATGTGTGTAAAATATGCTCAAAAACTTTTCTCAGTTCTGCCTTTGAATGTTGCTGAACGCCTGGTATAAAGAGTGGTTTTAAGTCCTATGTGCAGAGCCCTAAATCAGTTGAGGTCAACAGCCCAACTGCACCGCCTGACAGGAATACCTGTATCATAAGACTGGATGAACAGAGTTACTAATCCTCTAGCAGGAAGACCGTTCACATCTATGCATTTCATTTGTGTATTTTGCTGTCTGCTATTTCAGCTTTAAGAGGGCGAGCTGCAAGGAGGCCCCGTAATTATGTGGATCACCATCATGTATAGACACATGAACAGGGTAATCACATAGCTAAGGATTCCAGCTGTAGGAGAATGACATCTTCATTACTGGCTTGTCGGAAGGGCAGAGATATAAACTGTGACAGGGAAATCTCCTCACTAGAGTGTCTGAAATCTAAAATCTTCAACTGTTCGGTTTGTCTTCTAACTGAAAAAACTAGTTTTGAGTGATGTTTGCGTTGAAATAATATGTTATTTTAAATGTGATTATAATTGAAAAAAACAGCAAAGCGCGCTGGTATTTTTAGTTCTCTGACATCTGAAAGCTAAAATTTATTTATTTCAGGTACTTCTATAGCGTCGTCAATTTACGCAGCGCTTTACATATATATTGTGCATTCACATCAGTCCCTAACCCTCAAGGGGTGTACAATCTAAGGTCCCTAACTCACATCCATACATACACATATTAGGGCCAATTTAGACAGGAGCCAATTAACCTACCAGTATGTCTTTGGAGTGTGGGAGAAAATCGGGAGTACCCGGAGGAAACCCACGCAGGCACAGGGAGAACATGCAAACTCCAGGCAGGTGGTGCTGTGGTTAGGATTTGAACCAGTGACCCTAGAACTGCCAGGGGAAAGTGCTAACCACTTAGCCACTGTGCCACCTAAAATGACAATTGAGTTCTTAGCAGCTAATCACTATGTAGAATAGTTTACTATTTTGTAATGGTCTACAAAAGGCTATAAGATCATTAATGATTCAGTATCCTTCACACTGTGAATCCACAAACATGCCAAGTGCGAGGTCACTTTCACTAAATGCAAACCATTTCCAAGCCCAGCTTTTTGTGAATGTGAAACTTTCTAAACACAATAGCACAAATAACAGAAAACAACACTGAACCAGGCCAATGCCATTATCAAAGTGTTAGTAACTATGTGAAAGAGCTAAGAAAACCTTTTGTAAGCTTTTAGTGAATAATTGTAAAGCGTCACGCAGGCATAAGGTGACAGTCACCTA